GAGGTTGAAACTGCAGGTGTGGAATCTCGAGGAAACTCAGCCGAAGTTGTTCAGTTAGATAAATCTAAGGAGAGTCGACTGTTCAAGGGGTGTTCCGCAGTCGGGACAACTGCAAGCCTTCCAACCGCTATTGTGGCTCCAACTGCATTTTCGATTGCTATGACGGCCTCATCGGGTGTCACAAATAACACTGCTAACGGCAGTAGTTGCAATGGCAATGCCGGCAACTCCGATAGTCCTCTGACCTGCTGCAACGCAGAGGAGGGTACTAAGGATTCTTTAAAGGAGAAGCCCATGACACCGTTGTCGGCTGCGAAAAGAAAACGTCTTTCTCCTATCAGTGGACATGGGCAACAGCCAAATGGTTTTCATTCCTCAACTTCTGCCTCTGCTTCTGTAGGTTCCCATTTTGACTAAATTAAAAGGCATACCTTAAGGTGGCATTATAGCGGTAAAACAAGATAACCATTTGTTTTTTGGCCACAAAAAGGCTCTTGGAGTGTATGTAGGAAGGGAGAGGACCTCAAAATGGTACCAATCGGCAGTCTTTGTACCACGCACCACAACTTCGAATCTGCCTTCTGGATTCGATGGTTTAGCCTTACAGAATCTGCAAAGCCAGTTCACTTACAAGTAGTTACAATGGTTTAAGAAGTAAGAGCTTTGGTTCCTCAACATCAGTGAAATTCGACAAATATGAAAATGCTAAAAGCTATTCCTGAAACCCTAAAATTTTTTCTTTCCAATCAAATCCAAGTGTTTTAGGCTGAGATTATCAGCCAAGTCGTGACTCAAAATCTGCTAGCCCAAGCAAATCCAACACTTGGAAATCAGTGTACGCCCATCGTAGTTGTTTTATTTGCCATCATTTGCTCACAGTGTGCCAGATGGAAGAGGCAATAAAAGTGAGGAGAAATAACCCCACTTCTTTGGACTGCTAGCAAAGTGAGAACGATTTTTCCTATTACTATAGAGAGACAACCCGATTACTACCTTGTCACCACCTTTTTTCAATCTCTAGTGCAACCTTTCCCAAACATTTTATTTTCCTTCCCCCTAAAATAGGATTTTGCTTGCGTCGAGACAGGAGGTAGCAAGGGCAGTTTGGGCGTACCAAAGGAAGGAAAATGTGACCACGCACACAACTATTGCCAACGTAAGGCATTTAACAATGGGGTGTTTGATAGAAGCGCAGAGAAGACGAAAGAAGTGGTGAGGGAGGAGAAGGAGGAAGAGAGGCAAGGGGAAGGGATTTCGCGTTTATGAAACGCACATACCCGTGCACACGTACGCTCCTATGAGAGCAAAATACACGCAAATTCCTCTTTCTGTAGTATAACTGCTGATGCAGTTGCAAGGAAAATAAAATCGAGTTATTTTTCAATTAAGCCAATTAAGTTGCATGCCTAAAAGATGGTGATGACTAGGAGTCAGAAGATTTGCGAATACAGAGCAAATGTCCAAAATACGTCCTTTGCCTCAGTTCAATACCTCACGGAGTATCGAAATTGTTTTTACAGGCTTCAGTGCAATTTCTTACCAACGCCAAAGTTATTTAAGGAAGGCGCATCTCTGAATGACGACCAACTCTTTATCAAAACGCCAAGTAAAAACATTTGCAGAAGATCAAAGTGTATCTTCTGCATTGTTATTTATCACAATTCTTACCAGTGCCTCATGCATGCACCCTCACGTCACCAGTGTACAGCACGGGCTCCTCGCTGGGCCAATAATAACTGGTTGCAGCAAAGTCTGCAAAAACCCACTCGAGCAGATGTGGAGTCTTTTTGGTTTTAGTAGAACAATTGCATTTTGCATACTATCACTCCGCACGTGCCAGCATTTTTTATACTACTCTGAGGAGAATGGAAGTGTAATGAGTGATTTGTATTTTAATGCAGACAAGAATAAATTTCCTTTAATTTATAATTAATGAGCACTAAAAAAACACAGACAGTGAGCTCAATATGCTTAGTGAAGTAGACCTTAAAGGGTTGCAGTTTCTGCAGTATGGCACAGTAACCTTGGGAAGGCATCGATATTTCTGTCAAAGTTGGGCGTAATGCCTGTCGAATTGACGCAAACCAAATGAGAAAGCAATTCGCACCAGTCATTAGCGTATCTAGTGGGGCAACTCACCTTATTGTCTCCGATGCAAAGCGGAGGTGATTCAGCGAGGGTGATTCAGCCTCCGAGTAGGGTTGGGCGACCCACTTTTTGAGACCACTGAAATTGCAGAAAATAACTGGTCCCCATGAAAATTTCTCCCAAGGCTCCATTCTTCCCTACTTACCGAATTCATTCTCCTATATGATGATAAACTATCACAGTTTTAAAATAATCTTAAATGCTTAGCCTTTCCCAAACAGTTAACTGGGTGTTGCAGTGGACTTTCGCCATTACGGTGCAACTTCCCAGAAAGGACTTCAGTAAGGTCAGATTCTGACCGTGCAAATCCCCACAACGAGGATCAGTGGGGATGTAATTCACGAGGTCAAGTCGTGCTATTTTCTCTCTCTTTCCTTGCCTCTCTTCTCCCCTGGGAGATTCCAAAACTTGACCTTACTGTAACCTCATATACCAATGTGTCATCCCCAGCGCATGGGTTCGAGCACAGCTGCACTGATGAATGAGGTCAGTGGTCTTCTCTGACCTCGCACTTCTGCATCTCTCTTCCTTTTTGAAACAATTTCCAACTCTTTAATTGATCTTATTTGTATAGAGGAGGTGTTTATTTTCCCCTTTCAAAAAATACTGCCAGTCGCTAAAAGGTAAATGCAAAATTTATTGAAATAAAATTTAACTTGGTTAGGAATTCAAACATGGATGGTTTGAATGGAGATTATTAGTTTCGTATATGTTGTTGCCTATTCAGCCGATTAAACAGAAGAAGTCCGAAGACTCAACAACTCTACTTGCCCCGCCTGCTACAGTCGCTGCTACCAATACCACAAGCTCTTCCACCGTAGCCACAGGGTCCTCAATGAATCCACGACCTTCTGCCACTAAAGTCCCCCCCAATGTCAATACTGGGATGGAGCTTCCAACGCCCCTCAACAGTGGGACCATTCTCAGTCTGCAGCCACCCAGCACGGGGGCTAATCGCCTTTCTGTGGGCACAGCTCAACAGATAGAAGGTATCACTCTACCCGTATCTTCTGCTGTCAACTGCGGTGGAAATATAATTATTTGTTCCAGTGCTCCCGCTGCTACCATTCAACACCAACAACAACAATCAGCTTCTATCGGAACGTGGAATTGCCAAGTTAGTTACGAGTTTTCCTTTTTATAGTATTAAATTGTGGACTGGAGTAACAAAAAAGGTTGCAGCAAGGCGACACCGACAAATCACTTCTCCTCTCACAATGGATGTATTTTCTCTATACAGTTAGAAAAATTGGTCTTGAGACTAAAGTCCACCCAACTGAAATTTTTCCTGAAACTCCCATCTCCCATTGATTGGACAGATCAACTGCTAGCTTACGCGTTCGAACTCTCTGTTTCGCTCTAGACAGTGTGCTTGGTAGCTTAGTTGCTTTTTTTAAACCAACTCTAATCTCCAATCAAAATTAATCGTTTTAATTCTCAAGGTCGTCCCATCCAATGTGGGCATGAGAAGGAGGCGGGGGAGGTTTAGTAGGGGACAACTAAAAGCAAGAATGGTGTTAATATCCAAAACAGTGGATTTTTTGTGAATTAGCTCCTTTTTGCCCAATTTAGGGGCTGAGCCTTTTGACCACTCTCCTGTCTGTTCCCAGAGTCTCTTGGGAACGATCCAGGAGAACCAAATTATCACAATGATCAAAGCACAAGCAATCCATGTCCATTATGCTGTTTTAAACTATGCCTATTTTCTGGCAGCACTAAACCGAATTTTAAGATTGCTACATTACTTAAATAGGGGGACTTTCTGAAGTGGAAACACACGATCACAGAGACAACTCTGATAAAAGTCCCATGAAACCAAGGCTCTACAACCTTCAATTCACTCAGTTTAATGCGTAAATAAGCCAGGTTAATTCGTTTATGAAATCACGTCTTTCCCGCCCTAAAATTTGCCCCTATGAATCACTAAGTCGCACCAGCGTTCGCTTCCTCTCCCCATCCCTTCCCCAAATAGCCTCAAATTCACACCGTGAAAGTTTTATCTTCCTTGCTATTTAAATAGTTAATCCCAGCCTTGAATTCATAATATTATTTAAAAGAACATGAGTTTACATTGATGGGATCTGGTGATTGCCAAATCCCACTAAATACTTTGTAAGCAGTGGGAGGCCAAACTCCGTATTACTTCCAATTTTCTACCTTTCGTTTTTCCTTTAAGTTCATTTTTATGTAAACAGACGAGATCGCATTACCTTCGGTCGTTTTGCACCTTTCCTTCAACTTTCGAAAAAAAATTGAAGTCCTTTCAGTTAAGCAAAAAACCAATTTACTGTCTCAAAACTCAGGGGAATTAGTATTATTATTACCGTTATTATTATTTAATGAAATAAAAGTACCGCATAGGTGAAAGTGAATACCATTTTATATTTTATCTCCTCTCCTTATTGGCACTTCAATCACCACTTCCGTTGCCAGAGTCGAAGCAATACTTTGCCTCTGTGACTAATTTTACCACTAGATTACTAACGCAGTCTGGCATCTATATTTAAATAGCGCTCCTAGCATACATTGTTAAACCCTTCTTGGTGAACATTCTTATCAAATGTGTCCAAGTCCGCTTGCCGTTCTGCCATGTATGATTGAACCAATGCACTACAGTGAATGCATTCGAGTGGTTGCTGGATCTGATAAGTGGAAGATGGTGGGTGGAAAAACATCCGTCGCCTATTTGTATATTGTAGAAAGAGAGTAAGCGGCACTCAGCCAACTGTTGTCGTCTGTTATATGATTTTATTTTCGGAAAATAAAGTCAACACACGGAAGGGAAGGAAGAGGAAAGGATTAGTCACCAGAGGGCCTAACCTTTACCACAAATTTTTAGACCATTGGGTTTGCCCTCTCCTGCGCACATGTTTACTCACTCCGTAGGGTCAATAAACCAACTATCCATCCTCCCGCCCACCTCCCTCACCACTTTCCGAATGTACCCTAAATGAGCTCCGCAGAATGTCAAATTCAATGGCCTGTACTTTAGTTCCCTTTCCGTTCATCCACCTTCCCTCACCCAGCATTTCTCTGGTGTTGAGTGCATTTAACCATTATCACGGAACCCAGGCTGCCTTGGAGCAGCAACAACTTTCGTCCAGTTTATCAGGCTGACTATAGTGTGGACTAGTCCTCTTTTTAGAACAGACTCAATTGGATATCAGCGTCAAAAATTTGTTAAATGTGACTGTTTCTTGATGTGTCAGGTGTCATATCTGTCTTGAATAGATTTTGTCACCAAAGAGCAAAGACCTTGGAAGGTCATTAGCCCAGTGATAGCAACTTCACTTCACCCAACCAGCATGGCAGCAGCATTGCAGTGCCAAATTTGTACTAAAATAGTCTACATAGCTGCCCTTTCTCCTGGACACCCTTTCCGGTGCTCTATTTACCAAGCTATTATTCTAATAGTCCAACTCATAGTCAGCCAGTAGCCGCTGCATATTTATTCCATCATCCACTTAAGTTCTAATTTTCAAAATAATTTGTACTGTTACTTTTACACTCAAAAATACCATTTGTTACATAAATATGGCGTCATGCCATCGAGTCCTTTTCTTTTACAGCATGATTGGCATGCTTAAGCATAATCTTCTTCCTTCGCCTGACATTTCTAGGTTAAAAGTCTGGATACAAGATCAACTCCATTGACTCTGGTTCGACTGCCCAATGGTCAGTTGGCAGCAGTACCGAGCACCGTCTTTGGTGGATCTCAGGTGACTCTGACTGCGGCACCTCCGCCCCCTCCACTACCACCACCACCACCGCCTCCTCCTCCACCGCCACCACCGCAACAACCAGTGCTGCAAAGCCACGGTGCGACTCTGGTGCTGCGTTACCCCCAACATCACCCAAGTCTACAGAAGACTGGTGACCAATTTGATCCCAGCCAGGGCGTTGTGGATCCTACCACAACCAATCTCACCATTGTCAATGGAAACTATCAGTTCCAACAAACCCCGCATTTCCAACACCAGGTAAGTTCAGTTAGAAAAATGGTCCGAAGGAAATAGAAACTCCAATTTTAAGTGGTGAGAGACGCATGTTTCTGGTCGGCACATTTAGGCCTTTGTCACGGTCAGTAAGTCACCGTGGTTGAATATTTATCTTCCTTTAATGTCTGATCCACTCCTCTAAGTGCTATTGGTGTTT